TTTGGTATCTCCAATGAAATGGAAAGACACCTTCCTCCAGAATCAGTTCTGTCTCCATTACATGTAGCCAGAAGGAGCCTTTTGACTGTATGAATATAGGCATTTTCTACAGTCCTCTTTTTTTCTCTGACTTGTAGCAGGTGTTTCTCCTAGAGCCAATGGTTTAATTTGAAACTTTTCTCTCTTCTTCTAAACTAAGTAAGATACTCAAGTGCCTGTCTTTCCCTCTATAAATTCTCAGAATGTTTCTCCACCAGAGACAAGTGCATCTAGCAACATTTTTCTGCTTAATTGCTTCTCAAAGTATATACAGAAAATCTCCAATGTGCATGCAGGTGCGAAGAAGGACATATTTAATCATACATCTGTACATCCCTATACATATATGTACAACTACCTGGGGGACCAGGACATTCACTTGGCAATTTTCTTTCATGCTAGAAATCTGTATGCACACGGTTGATGTCAGTTATGTCATTAGGCTCAAATGAGGATTATCTTGTGGTGAGCATTTTATAGAGATCAGAGGAAAAACAATCTCTGTGCAAAGGAGTTCCAACCTACCTAGTACAAAATAACTGGGTAAGGTGATAGAATAAAAGTTTTTTTCTTGTTGAAATATGCATTTTTCTAAGACAATGTTGAAATTTCTTACCTGATATTAAGAAAGCACAAATATTTACTAGCACTTGAAGTCAGTAATTCATAAATTCACCAGAACCTCTCAGAGTTTGTTTGAATATCCAAGGATGCACATCATCAGAATTGTTTAAAAATATGACTCACTGAGTACAATAAGTCTACACACCGCAGATCACAGAGTATGTTCTAAGGAACCATCCAGATATGTCCACAAGCCCTGCAGATTGAATTTTTAACCAAAAAAATCCTAACCAAAGCAAAACAGTGGTAAAATACCATCACAGACACAGATCCTGAAGCTAGACATGTTTGGTTTGCTCTTAGAATCCGTACATGTTAAATTCTAAATAAAGTTATTGGAAACTACCTCTCAGGCTTGTGACAGCTCTAGACCAGAATGCATTCAGAAGCCATCACATGCTACAAATCTCAGAGTAATAAATAGGATATTGAGAGACACTACTTTATTTTTAGTGCTAATTTTGCATTGTTTTATCTTGGTTTTTTTTCCCCCAAACATTTCATATTTCTATTTTTCACATCTCAGCTGAGAGTTGCAATAGGTAAGATAGGGATTATTGTGGAGTCACTGCTTGTGGTGTGTAAATAATTACTGGGAGTTTTGGTTTCATTCTGCGTTGTTGTGAAAACAGGTCTTGAAATCTCAAAATATAATTTTTGGGGGTTTTGGCCAGCCTAACTTTCTCCACCTCTTTATAAACACTTTATTGGAATTTTTATATTATTCCATCAGACAAGGACACTCTTGTTAATTGGACCCTATCCCTGCACTGGCAGTTTCAGTTGAGAAGAAATGTAAGTAGTACACAGCTGGGATTTTCTCATTGTGATGAAACACATAGTAATTTAAATGTAATCTAGAGAAGATACATCACTCAGCATACCTCTAGGTATAGTTCTTTCCTTGGCACAAGTGGTTGCCTATTATCTTGCCACAGTCCTAAAATGAGGATTTAGTCAAAAATGCTAACTGAATTCTAAAAGAGAACCCAGTCAGGACCAGGCAGGATACGATTTTTAAAATAATGACAATAAACCACCAAACTAACCAGAAGCATTGTTGGAATAGATCAATTATTGTAAATAAACTGCTCCTGACATGAGCTTAAATCTGTAAAATTTATGTTTCATAAAAACCTCACATCAGCAGATGTCTTTAAGATGCTCTTTTTAATCTGCAATATCTTGGTTTCAAGCTCCCTGCAGAATAAGGGATTATCTCTCATTTTAATATTCCAAAGGTACAGTACCACATATTCTTTCAAGAGTCACTTGACAAGGAGAATAGAAGATGTTAGCTCCTTTATGAAGTGGAAAGCTTTAAAAAGATCTTATTATTATTATACAAAATGCAAGCACAGCTCGGGAGTCTCTATTAGGAAGTGATTTGCATCTCTTGGAATGATTTAAAACTGAGGGCGAAGACAACTTGAGTGACTTCTTACCCACTGTGGACCTCGAAGGCTTAGGCAGAAAAGGATGTTAAATATTGAAATTGCTTTGCTATTGAAAGACACAAAAGCTGATCTGATATTTAGGCCTTCTGTCCCTGCTTCTGGGCCTTTGTCACTTTATTGTCTGTGACCTGACTCAGGGAATCACTGTTCTCCATTTTATCAACAGCCAGTGGCTGCACAGTCTCTGGCTGATATTGACAGCACACGGTGCTGCTTAAAAAATTGCACTGAGTCACTTCTCAAGAATTTACTTATTTTTTAAAGACTGCTTTATCTACTGGACATCTTAAGAGTTTCTTTACAATAAATTCCACATAGCTCTAGGACAGCAAGCTGGATTCAGTGACAGAATCATGGGAGAGTAGATAAATATGTGGGTTTGTACAGTTGATGCTTGGAGTTCAGCATTTGTTAAAATATTCTAAAGAACAGAAGACTTTCCTGAACTGAAGAAATGGGAAATGGGAATCAAAGGCAAATAACAGCAAATAACATTTAGAAGACTTGTTTTCCATATAGAAGATCAACAAACAACAACAAACCCCAAAATTTTAGATAAAATTTAGTGTTTACCAAAGATAATATCTTTTACAGAATAGCCCAAAACAAAGGCTACAAAAATATGTGGAAGATCAGCAAGTTCTTTGATCATTAGATCTGACCCAGTGATCTGCAGAGATACAAGGTGATAACTCAGCTTCTTAACAAGAATTACTGACACTATTATTTGTTATGAAAACAATTTGATTTCATTTTCAATTTGATGGAAATGAACCAAAAGTTGTAGCATATGATGCTCCTCTAGAAGAACAGAGTTTGCCTGTGCTATCTGTGAAGTCAACACAAGCTTCACCTTTGACTTGGTAGGAGCAGAATAAAGCCAGTGGGGACAGAGAAGAAACAAAATGTAAGCTTGACCAGTTGCACAAATGCTGGAGTAATGACCCACCTAAATTATCACACAAAGAGCTCCAAAGGAGCTCTAAAATTAAAGCACACATAAAGAAGATTCTATAATGGCCAGCCAGCCATAGACACATGTTTTGTTGCCCACCACACCCAACCTAGATCTTCATCTATCAGCTGCAGACAGTGAGTGTCTGGGCCCATTGGGGTCAACATCAAGGACGCCCTGGACTACCACAGGGGCCATATTTCATGCAGTCATAATTGTCTACACAAAATTTGAACTCTTGCACTTCCTGTCTTGTATGGCAGTGCATTTTGAGGTAAACTGGGACTGATGGGAGCCACTAGAATATTTTTCAGTACACTCTTTTTGGTGGAGTTGTCTTCTCCTGGCAGCTGTGTCCAGAGATGCAGAGGAAACCCTATTTCAACCAGGAACTTTGTATCACTGTGGTTAACAGCCAAAATAAAGTTCATAACTGGTAGGCTGACAGTGATTGCAAAGGGATGAGATATTACTGCTTCTCCTTATTTGAGATTGAATTCTTATTTTAGCAAGGTGATAAAGATCAGTTTCCTTGCAATTTGGAAGATAATTTTCACAGAATCACAGAATCACTAGGGTGGAAGAGACCTTCACGATCATTGAGTCCAACCCATGCCCTAACACCTCAACTAAACCAGGGCACCGAGTGCCACATCCAGTCCTTTTTTAACACATCCTGGGATGGTGACTCCACCACCTCCCTGGGCAGACCATTCCAGTACTTTATCACTCTTTCCATAAAAAATGTTTTTTCCTAATATTCATCCTATATTTCCCTTGGACATTTCAGTTACTCTTGGCATTGGTAATATGCTAAATAAGACAGAGGTGTTCCAAGCTTGATTAGTCACTTCTACGGACTACAGCAAACAAAATTAGTAAATAATAATCATAGTGATCGGTGCTTCATCTTAAAAAATTGAATGTTCAGAAAAGCTAAGAAAGGCACTCTGAAGTTTAGGTCCAGAGTGCCTGAAGAAATAATACATGGAAAATTCAACATAACAATATTTTAACTTTTCAGATGGACCAGGATGTTGCCTCCAACTTCACTGACAAGCTCAAAGGATTGCATATCTAGGAATTTGGTGTCCATGATTGGGTAATTGAGAATAAAAACAGTCTCCTTTTGGTAGCAAGAATATAATAATGTCTCTGTTACTACAGACATTTTTCCCCCTTATGCTGGACTTCATGCTCATATCTGATTCATGCTGAAAAAGTAAGGATGTGCACTAAGATTAGAAAGCAGCATGAAGGAGCTAGGATGTTTCTTTTGCAGAGGAATGGCACTGCATTTAATAAGTGTCCTCACCCTTAGTTAATTCAAAAGCATTTCATAATGAAGCCCATTGTTTAATCTTCTCTCCTCCCATAGTTAATAATATTCTAATTAAAATAATTATTATTTTTTAGCATTTACATACCACTATATATCTTCAAAGCATTCTCTAGTTATGAATCACACTGCTCACAATTTAAGTTACAGAACTAGCTAGCTTTTCCCTGCAAATTTTTTGAAAGAAAGACAGTTTTTTAAAGTCCTGATTTTATGATGTGGAGTGGTATAATTAGCTCATATTTGAACCTGAATATCTTTCAGTTTGACAAAGTAGCCTAGTTCCTTTGGAAAAGATAAGGACCACAGTCTGTCCTGTGGCATCTAAACAGCTCAGCAGGCCCAAAAGGGATAGGTAGATTTAGTCCAACAAATTGAAATAGAATATTTAGTAAATTTGCTAAAAAACACTTTCACAATTATGAAAAATTTAAGTCCAGAAAAAAAAAAAACCCAAACATTTTTGAGTATTGTAATTTAGAACACATAGATTTTGAAATAATGGATTTTCCCTCAGTATGACTATCTAAGTTATCATCTCCATTAAGTCCAAAATGATGACAGAACACTGTGCCATTTTCCTCACCTCTAACCAGTTGCTGCGTGAACCAGGGTCGCAGAAAGCAAATGGGCAAATCACTGTCTCCAGCTGAAGAAAGAGCACAAAGAAAGAGAAAATTGTGTTCTTAAATAGGGAAAGGCCAGTGATGGGATTCAAACTACAAATCCTCATAAGTACCTTGCCAGCATAGGAACACAAGACTGTTCACTCATCCTTGGTCACCAGTGGTCACAGAGGGAGAAGGAAGTTTGATCACAGAGGGAGGAGGTTTGGTTACAGAAGGAGAAGGAGGTTTGGTTACAGAGGGACAATGAGGTTTGATCACAGAGGGAGAAGGAGGTTTACCGGTGTCTCTGCATAAGATACATGACTGGCACAGGTGGGTCGAAATCTTCCCAAGCACGTCTGTTTCATTCACTGAGCACTGAAGACATTCTTTTTCTTAGGTCAGAGCTCTGAGATGGCTCTAGGTAAAGATTAATCCCTTGTGGATGAGGAAAAGTGGCTCATTTGGCTTTACTTTTAAAGAAACTTATGTATTGACCAAAAAGACAAAGTCTCCATTCTTTTAAATTTGCGCTACCTCTGACCTCCCCACAGAAAGCCATGACTTTTTACCTCCTGGTGGCCTCTCTGAGAGGCACACAAGCTTGGGTTTGGTCCATGGATTTAAGACATTAAGTTCAACAATAAACTGGATAATCTGCCAAGAAAATAAGCACTGCTACATTTAACTTCATAAGAGATGGTTACTCCTGGATTATGTATATTAATGAGTTTTGAATGAGTGACGTTTGATAAAATATTCACCATCTCTTCAACTTTCTTTCATTTCTTTTCTTGCTGGAGCTCTTTCATATTTGAAAATTAATTATGCACACCATATTTAACCAGGGTGAAAATGAGACTTACATGGAACCTTTCCAGCTCTTCATTACATATTTAATTGTTAAAATAATCAAGCTATCCATCACACATTCTGCCACCCAGTCACCTGTCACCTTGGAATCAGTCAAAAAGAACATAGAAAGAGAAGTGTAGAAACAGAAATTTCACATTTCTTGAGCTGAACAGTTTTGCTGTTGAGAGGAATGGTCTTAGCATGGTGTATCTGTATCATGTTTGCAAAAATAACAAATGGCATCTTCATGGCATCTTCTGTGCTTTGGGTTTTCCCCCATGAAGCCCTAAAAACGATCACCATGTTATGGAGAGTTCTTTAGCACAGATGAAATCCACAGATTAAATTACCATGCCTTCTCATTGATTTTAGAGCCTGGCTAAAAATGCTTTATAAAGTGTGCACTGATCTGGCCAGCATTTAATAATAGCTACATGCTATAGGATGCTTTTCATCAAAAACCTGCCCATGCACTTCACCAAAATGCTAGGAAACACAGGCCTTGCTTAGTGGATGGTGAAACAGAAACTTGAGAACAGCATCAGGCTACAGCGGTAATCCATCAAACACAACAAGGCATTTTGTGGAGCTGAGTCCTTTGCCCCAGAAAGCCACAAGGCAAATATAGGTAAAGGATGAAACCTTCTCCTCCTGAGTTTGACCACAGTGCTCCTTTTACTGAGCTTTTCTAAGAGCTGCATGAAGTCTGCTGGGGTGTTTCATTTAAACATGGGGCTCAGTGCTGCAGGATCAGAAGCCCTTGTGATGGAATTAATGCACAATTTTTGAAAAATGTAATGTATAAAGAATTCATGGACTTTCAAAGGAACATTGAATTTTAAGAAAGTAGAAGACTAAAGGTGTTGTAGTAAAAGTAGAAGAGGAACAAAGTTGTTTTATTTACATTGGTACCATTCCCCGACTATCTCACATGCTAAATATTCATGTCTCCAGAAAAACAATATTGCACACAATATTTTAAAATATAGGTACATTTCAATAGTCATAAAAATATAACCTGGTTTCAATTCACAGAGGAACATAGATGAGGTGCAATTCTTAACTTTTCATATTTTACTGAAATTTTATTTCACTGTGTTCTATGCTAGAGACAAAAGGATCAAAAAGAATAGTTAATTCTTATAGTCAATCCCACAGAGGTGAGATTTTCAAAGGCATTTTGGTGGGAACTGAGTAGCCCAGTCAGTCTATTTAAGCCCAGTCTCACTGTGTATTTCTCTATAAATAAAGTATGGTTTCAATTTAATACTCAATTTTACATAACAAAGAGAGGGCTTATCACTAGGAAGGTCCAATAGAGCTCAGCAAAACTGTAGCTTTAAATTATTATTATTTAATTCTTTAGCAATCCCTAGTAGTAATTGTGCATTGCCCTGTGGTCTAAAGGGAAAATAAGCTTTCTCCCATTTCGTACACAAAGGTAGAACAAATACTATTAAAATATAACTGGAGAGCTTTCTAGAGAGTATTAAAGAAATCTCAGCTCAGGCAGACTGTGATGTATTGTGAAGGTCACAGCTGATATGAACAGTGAAGTAGCTACTTGCAGGGAAATAATGCATTTGGATAAAGAAGTTGTGCCTATAAAATACGGATATGAGCTGGAAAAACAAAAAGAAATGACCCAAAAACCAAAGCAAATAAAAAAAACCTACAGAAGATGTAAGAATCACAAAACAAAAGTCACCAACACCAGCCATTGCTTGAAAAGTATCAAGGACAGAACCAGTAGAGCGAATGATCTATCTTATAAATTAGACTTCAACTAGTGTAAAAGCAGCCAAAGTGAGGGCCCAATTGTTTTTGTAGCCTGTCGGAAATAATTTCAAACCTGACAGGATACCATGGCTCGTAGTGTGATCTCACAGATTTCAGTGGTCATGCTGAGAGATAAGCAGAGAAGCACGGTAAAAACCCTGATAGCAAAAGCATTGCTGCCAGTTTTGCTGTACTAAAAAATTATCATTCACTCCGAATAGCAGATCAGGCAAGCGCTGAATGACTTCCCTTTCCTTCTCTCCCTCCTCCTCTGCCTGTCTCCCTGCTACCACCTTCTTTCTTCCCCTTTCCACTCCCTGAGAGGACATGAAATACTGTGTTTTATAGTATCCAAAGCAGCTGTTATATCCACTAACAACAAACATCGAAAGAATTACACTGTCATCAAACTATCTTATGATATCATTAGTGTCCTAAATTAAAGCAAGATGATTGCCCCAGCAGAGAGCAATCAACCATACACAGATACTAATGCTGCAGGTAGATTGTAGAGTTCCACAGGAGGAGAAGGTGCCGTGCCCTTGCTCTGTAATTATTCCAGAAATCAACTGACAAAGCCATTTCTTCAATTACAAATGGTGAAGGGCAGAGCCACACACTTCGCATGCCTGTCTGAGGTGGGGTGCCTGTTCCAGCTCCTCAGATTCCCAGCTGGGCCCAGTAGGGCTCTGCAGCCTGCCACACTCAAGTGGGAGAAGGGCAGGTCCTCTCAGTGCTGCAAGATCATACAATTGGTGCCTGGACCAACATGAAGCTGCAGGCACCAAGGGAAGCCCACAGGAAGTTGTGACATCTCTTTGCTGTTAAAACCTCGGGGCTTCTTTCAGCAGGGCAACAAGAGGGACTGTTACATGAAGGGATGTGGGCAGAGGTACCTGGTTTGCAGAGCCCTTGGGTGGGGGATGCTGTTGACCACTTAACCCACAAACGTTCACTTCTGGCTGTTACCCTCTTTTTGGAAGTTGCAGTACTGGTCTGCAGAATGGGAATGCCTCTTTTTTCTGGGGCAGGAAATATTTATTTCCTCTGCTTTACAACCTCATATACTTGGACTAGTATTTGCATACGTGCTATGCTATGAAGCCCTGTCCAAAACTTATTCCCTGGAGATTAATATTTTCCTGGCAGAAACACTTACTATTTCCACTAAAGGTACAGTTTGAATGCATTTAATTTATGTGCACAATCTTCAAGCTGGTGGGGAGGAAAGAGAGCCCCTCGAGAAAAACACTAAGCAGGGATTGCAGGGAACTGAATTTGGTTCTTAGTGTTGACACCGTTTCAACTGTCAACAAATTACTTCATTAGCCTGTACTCACTGTCCCAAGTGGAAAACAGAGATATTTTCTTTGATCAACATATCCAATTCTAAAGTAGCTGTTCAGGACAATAGTAATTTAACAAATGCTTTCATTTCTAAAGTCTATCACAATTTGATTCCAATAGCAATTTGGCTGTCTAGCTATGGTGCTTTAAACAACAACTGTGCTGGTGGGGCTCATGTGCAGCTAGAAAATGGGGTACAATTCCATTTAGCTTTTTCTCAGGAAAGGTGCTCGGCTGAAGATTTCTTGATTCACCCCAGGTCCCCAACACTATCTCTTCAGTTCAGTATCCACCAATTTTACTGATCTGATACAGGTTAAAGGCCCATGAACTCTTCTTTTTCCCACCCACTGTATCCTACAAACACTTGTACTAACACTAAAGGGTTAGAAGATGAAAAGCAGGAAAAAGAGAATTATTTTCCTTCTAAAATTTTACGTTGCTGGTGCTTGTATGTACTCCTGTAGACAGGCAAAAGCAATACCATCTTTTTTTTGCAGTCAGGGAGTGAAATCACAGAAATATTAATTGCTTTGCCCCAGGTCACACAGGAATCTATTGCAAGGCCAGAAATTTGACATAGATCTCCCATATCTCAGATCAGTGTCTTAATCGTGAAATAACCATAAGAAAGTTGAGTAGTTAGGTTATCTGTGGAAATTGAAGGGGGGTTTATTGCTATGGTCTATAAAGAGAGAAATGGCAGTAATGCATTTATGTTAACTTATATTCTGATCTTGGGAAAATGGCACTGTCGTGTTCCCCTGTTTACTCCCTCTCATTTACTTTATATGAAGTTTGCAGAGTTTGCAGTCTAAAGGAAGATGCTTGCACAATGCAAATTCAAATGAGGACTGAAAAATCATACTCAATTTTTCACTCTTATATCATCTGTAGCCAGGAAGAGTTTTCAAAAATATTCCAGAAGTCACAGGTCCAGGATAAGAGATTCCTGTTTAATTTATCTTACTCCTGCTGGTGGCAGAATGCTCTCCAAAATGTGGAGGCCTAATTTCTTTCAAACTTACCCTGAAATTAGAAAGAAAAATCTTCCAGTCCAATTCAAACCATCTAATTTCTAAGACAGAGTTACCTTCTAGAATAAATAAATATTAATACTGTTAATAGAATAATGATATTCCTTCACACCTTCACACTTGATTTCAAGCAATTATTTAATTTTATTAATCCAAACAGAGCAAGAAGGATTTCACTTGCCCATTTCATTTC